TGATCTTATGGATGATTGGATGTAAATTATGTATGTCTTCAATGATAAAAACTCACAATAATTTATACAAGGGAAACAACAAGAATTAAGCTAACTATCTGAGAGATAATCTAACTGCTCGTACATATACTCTAACTGCTCAATAATATGAGAACCAAGCCAACATTTCCATGTATCCATGAGAACTAATCTTATCCATTAAAAAATGCAACATAGGGATATGCTTAATATGCACACATCATAATGCGTAATATGCACACTCGCATTTTTAATTCCCCAAGTAATCTCATCCATAGATCTATTTTTGTAATGAATGAGATTGTTTCTAATGACAATGTTCTAAGTTCGACTCCTAGCGGGAGCGGCCTATTGACTGTTTTGTTTGAGTCTATTAGCTATGAATAACCTAAGTTAGTTTAACTCCTTGAAGTTCTTTACCGGCTAGGGTCACAAGATTAGGTTTACTCAGTGCACACCCTTGGACTGAGTACAAAAAACGTACATATTTATCCCAAAACAGGACGTTTTTAGCCTTCCCAATCAATTCATATGTATTTATGCCAAAACAATGCGGATTTTCTCCAAAATGAAAACTATAAAAATGTTATCACATCTTTAATTTAAATTTTTATGAACCTTAACACGTTTTTCCTAAAACAATGTTACTTTTTTCCTAAAAGATACTGTTTATCTCCAAAATAGTGATGTTTTCTTCTAAATTAGTTAATAAATGTTCTATATATTTATAAAATCATTAATGCATTTTTCATTTTTAAGTATAAATCTCATTCATAATCGATAATCGAAATTCATTTCCACTTTTCACATAAAATTTTATTCTCATATGATCTCCCCTATATAGAGATACATGCAAAATCACTTTACACATGTTTTACAAAACTATATATTCTCTTAAAAATGCCTATATGAATGAACACCCTGTAAGATTTTCCCTAATAATATATATTATATATTATGTATTAGGGCCTTAATTAAGTGGTGCAAGTTGACTAGGCTTATTAAGTGGTCTGGTTGGACTTAATAACTAGTAGTTGTTAGTCAACCAAACTCTGTGCCTAATATAACCTGGATTGATGGGATACAGGATTATGGATTAGATAGCACATTCAGTTACGGTACTCAGACCGCTCAGTAGATACCAATACACCATCTAGGGTTCTGAGTCAGGTCTGAGGCAAAACATGGCTAACGGTCTACCGTTAAGAGGCAATACTACAGGAACATCAACTATGGCTGGAGATCTACATGGCTACGCTTCCGCTATCATACGAGGTCAGGTTTCTCGTATACTATGGTTTATTATAGTTAGATTATTTATATCTAACATTTGGTATCAGAGCCTTTCTTAATCTCTGCCTGGTTGATTATTATGCCTAAAATTAACAATTAATTTGTATATACATTGAGTTCTTGGTATATATTCAGTATATATTAATTCTTCGAAATATGCATATAGCTGTTTGGTTTTTGATATAATAATTTGTGTATACTTCGGAAGAATTATGTATGGACGTTGAAATTGTTTTTCAACCTTAAGCATTAATTTTGATTTGTTTTTCAAAATTATTGAATCCAAAATTGGCTACTGCTTGCCTGAATTTTTCGGATTTATTATCCGTTTTAAGTCTCATTTTTTGTTTCTCCGGCGACTGCTACTGGGAAGTAATCGGCACCTACAGATAAAAACAAAAAAATTTCAGTTCTGGATATTTTTTTTTTTTCTCCCGTCGGTTTTTCCCTTCGCCGGCATTAAGGAGGTCGCCGGTGTGCTCTCCGACCGCCGTTGAGTCAACACCATTGAGATGGTCTCCTGGACGACGGTGGGCAGTGGAGTGATGGTGTTCGCAGTTTTTCGCAGTAGCAAGCGTGGGCGGCGTCGCGGGGAGGACGGTTGCGGACGTTGCCGCTGCAACAAGGAACGACGGCGGAGGTGGCTGGATTTCCGGTTCTCCGCTGCTGTCTTCCTCTCCATCAGGCGGCGGTAGCTTCGGCCGTCGCTGTTTCTCCTCATTCAGGCGAATCTTGCTGCTCCTGGTTGCCGCTGCTAGGGCGTCTGGTTGATTGAGCAAGAAGATGATGAATTATATCTAACACACCCTATACAACGTTCACCTATTATACTCTAGGCAAATCTTACTTTAATAATGTATGATATATAATAGATGTTGAATTATATATCACTAGAATGTTATAAAACCTGGAGGTGTGATTGAGTGGATCGGAAGAGACTCATCCATCCTTATTAACCAAAGGTTATGAGTTTTATTCTTAACAATCAATGTGTCCGATAGTAAAAAAGCTCGTGATTGTCCGATAGTAAAAAAGCTCGTTAGAAAATTAGTTCATTATAATATATATATATATATATATATATATATATATATATATATATATATAACCAGCAAATCACAATGAGGCTCATACAGAAAATGTTTGGGCAAAGGTGAAACTCAAGAAAATATTATTGAATTTGAAGCTAAGTCACTTTCCAACAAAATTTTACTCCTCCACTAGTCTTATTTACTCTGCATTGATTAAACCAATTACGTAATTTATTTAATTTTCTCCAGCATTTTATAATAATTTTTAAATTTAAGTTCTTTGTATTAATAGTATTTTTTTTAAATATAGTTTATAAATAAATAAACTTTATATACTAATATTAAATTAAATTATAAATAATTTAAATTAATAGAACAACAAATAGGATTTGATGTGGAAGGAGTGTTTGGTCTTGCAATTATTTGTGGGCTTGAACAAACTATTGGAGAAGTGAATATTATTAGATTTGTATCGGTGAATAGACCCATATAGAAACCTATCACAGTGTAAGTCTACACGGTTGATGATTCAATGGCGGTCCATTTTCCTTTAGTCATATTAAGCTTGTAATTGGCCCCTTTCCCAATATTTTAGGCAAAGAATTATGGGAGATAATGGTGGTAGGCAGAACTTTCCATCTTTATGTGGAGAAGCACATACATGAGAAATATAAGAAAGGGAATGAAGATAATGAATCCATGGAGATTTTTCAACAGAAAATTAAAGAGGTTGTGACCAAGACAATAACCCAATCATGCCTAAATGCCTAATAAAGATAAGATAAGTTAAAAGATTGTCTTTAAGATAATAACAACCATAATTGCAACTTGCAAGTCACTGATTGAGTACATGACTAAAAACCCATTTCTTTTCTTGTAAAACTTATATTAGGCGATTCCAGCTTTGTCGGATTAATCTTAAATCCATTCCCCTAGAGCTTTTGTAGAGATAAATTGCGAGTCGCGCAATCAGCCCATTAGATCCTAGTATTCATGTGTGCACAAGGGATCCAATCCAGACATTTCATCATCATCATTGGGCCTGGCCATTTTCCCATACATGTTTTGAGGAAATAGGAATGGAATAAGAATTTCATTTCATTATTTGATTCGTGAAACGAATAAATGGTAGGAATTGTATTCCAGTGTTTAGAATGATTAAGGAACAAAAATGCAATAAATATTCAAAAAAATAAAATTACCCTTTGACACAGATGCACAATAATAATAATAATAATAATAATAATAATAATAATAATAATAATAATAATAATAATAATAATAAATACATTTATAATATATTAATAACAAAAATAGGTAAGGATAAATTAAGCATTACAACAAATAATTTTTTTTAGTACTACTGACTCAGTTACAATGCAGTATCTGTTATTTTTTAAAACTCATAAATAACATAATACGAACTCATACATACAACATTTTAGTTGTTTATAAAAGAAAAGCTAAAGTGTTATCCCGCACCATGAATTATATTGAATTATCCATGTCGCACCATGAATTTTCATAACATATATTTCAAGTCATGTACCATTTATTTTTTTTTCGTGTAGTATTTTTTATAGGTTTCTAGGTTACTATGATGACATGGCACATGTTATTATTATTATTATTATTATTATTATTATTATTATTATTATTATTATTATTATTATTATTATTATTATTATTATTATTATTATTATTCAGTATTTAAGTCATCAGAATATATTGATGTAGCATTCCAATTACCTTTAACTTGGAGATTACATGCAATTACAGGTAAAATGAAGTTAATTGTACTTTTTTTTAAGCGCAAATATTTAATTAGAGATTTTTTAATTTGAATGCTTAATTGCACTTGCACTTTTATAAATAGTTCAAGGGCTTATTTCATCCTTATCTAATTAAAGTGAAGAAGCTTTGGTTGAATGAGACAGAAGATGGGATATTTATAGAAACTCAAGCTCGCGTTATAATGGGAAGGGAATTTGGAATTACGCAAGAATATATATGAAAAACGTTTCATAATCACACGCCACCGCCCAAATATTACTTGTCAAAGCATACAAAGAAAAGTAACAAAAAAACCAGTCACCATTATCACGTGGCCTTCCAAAATGAAGACAAAAGAATTTCAAATTTTGATCTTGATTTTTTAACTCATTTCTCTTGACTTAAATATTCTTAAATTAAGAATCTTAATCAATTATTTGAAGAGAACACCTAACAAATAATGACCAACCTACACACTTGACCGTCGGACTAAAATTTTTTGGGATTTATTTTATAGTTGTATTAATTAATATTATCGTCAAATTTTCTCAAAAACTTACTCCCTCTGTTTCATTTTTTTTTTTGTCTTATTCAGTTAACAAAATTTGGCTAAAATAATTTTTAATTTAATTTTTCATAATATTAATTTTATTATTAATATATAAAATTTATATATTTAAAATTTTTATTAAAAGTACTATTAAACACAAAAATTTAAATTTAATTATTAAAAATATTTTAAAAAAAATAAACAGAGAAGATAGAATTGATTTAAGGAATGAATAATAACATATCAAATACAATGAAACAGATGGAAGTACTTTTTATTACCACGTCTCTTTCTAAAAAATAGAAAACCAAAATTACTTAGGGCATAAGTTGGAGATTCATGAAGAACAAGTTGAATGGGCCCTGAGGTTCAGGTTTGATCTCTAGATAACATAGCACCTTAAGTTGGAGATTTTACATAGAAATGAAATGAAACTAAATCAAAGTAGAGAGCCAATCGTGCCTGAGCAGACACTGATAGATAAGGGTAAATATCATCATCACACTGATACAATTGTTCCATATCCAAAGATGCCGGTTGGTACAAATTATTTGATAACAAAATGATAATAATTTACATCATTTTATGGGCACCCGAAGGAGGCCCTGAGATAAAAGGTGAGCATTCCCATTCAGTTTCAAGAAATTGAGACGAGCGAGAGCATTCAGCATCAGCTAAAAGAAAACGGAAGCAGCCTTAGGCACCGTTCTCGGTTGTTCTCCTCAAAGAAGTGAAATTCAACCTGTATAGAGTCAAGGCAGTTAATACTCGACACGAGTGAGTGGATGATAAAGTAAAGGAAAGGAAATCTCTAACTGGGTTCTCACTCGGGTTATATAATACCTTATCATCGGCTTTTGAGGAGCTATAAATGCTGATGTAGTTGCCATGCCGTTGGGTGAAGCATTCAGCTCGAGCTCTTCCAGGCACTCATCACGCACGGCACAACAAGAATTGCTATTCTCATCCCCTTTATCTGAACTTGCCGCTTCATCCCCTGGCTTTTCTACAGCTTCCGGTGGATCAAAAAAACACCCTCCATCCTTCAACTCATCATCTCCCAGCCCATCAAAAACTTGAGACGAATCTGGCTGGTCGATAATTGGCTCCACAAATTGCTTGACTAGAAACCTCTCTGCTGGTGCTTCAATTGGTGAAGGCACAGCCGGTGATCTGCTTTTGATCGATACCTCAACATGGCTTTCCACATGCCTAACACTACTCAACGTGTCACCAACATCACATTCCAATCTCTTTGCTTCTCTCGTTTCACCTGGCAATCTTGCATCACTACTACTAACAACTTCATCCGGTTTTCTCTTTCTAGTAGCAACAGGTGCTTTTGCAGGTTGTGCAGGCCTAACTCCTCCAGGGAAGACAAAGTTAGGAATGTTTTTCCGTTTTACATGACACACACGAATCAACATTGTTGATTTCCGAAAGGAGTATTGATATACATCATGCTTAAAATCCTCAATTGTCAACCTTATATCAAACTGTTCACCTTGTTGGGGATTAGTTCCTTGTTTTCTGCGTAATCCCATAAAGTAAGAATGATGAAATGGTTTTGCTTTGTCTGAAAATTCACCAGGACAGGGATGGCACTGAAGTACTCCGCTTGTGTCCCTCTCAATCTAAGATGAATAGAAAAACTATCAAAAACTTAAGTAAAACACAAACCAAAAAAAGCAATAAAGGTACATATAATAAAAACATTTAAGAGATAAATATAACCTTCAGAGTAAGCAAACGTATCCTAGACTTGACCCAGCCTTTCCAGTTCATCATATCATCATTATTCTCAGCAGATATATCTATTTGCAAATAGTTTTTGTAGGCTTCAAAAAAGGCAAAAGGCTCAAAAAGGTTCACCCAGCTAGCTCTGTTTGCTTCTATTGCCTATACAGCAAAAACAAATAAATACATAAATCAGTAAATACATAGAGGTTTTATGTTTGATTCCACCAAGAACATCTAGAACATGTAATACAGGATAAAAGACATAGTACTCAATTCAAATTCCAAAAAAATACAATATCATTACAATCAAATAAAACTAGATTCATTTTAGCAATGAAAAATAAATTATTCTAGAAATCTTGACATTACCTCACAAATATCATTTCCCCTCTGAAATTCTTCTGTCATAACACGCAATGTGCTTGTGGACACATTGTAGCTAGAGTTCATGCAAGGATATGCTGGGGTTATTATAGGCATTAGGTGCATCCTGTCTTTGAAATTTCTCCTAGGGTCCCAATATGGCAGTCCTAGAGATCCTTCTTGAATTGGACATAATAAAACAGGGTTTGGCCAGCGCCACATACTGTAGACCCTGAAGAACCGAGACACCAACATGCTAGGAATTGCATTAGGATATAGTTGGCAAATGCGAGCAACAAGCAATGCCCAATTAACACCACCAAGAAAGCCAGTAACCTAGTAGTCATACAGAGAGCAACATTAGCTTAGATAGGTAAATACAACACTTCATACTGCAAACACGTATACAGATAGGATCATTAGCAAACAGTTCAGAGAGAATTATAATGAATTCCTCACATTTGAGTAAACTCCACGCCGCCCTGCCCACAATCTCAGACATCTCAATGTAGTCCGAAAACTCTACAGGAGCAAAAAGTGAAACACGTTAGTAATAAGATTACGACAGCATAGGTTACTTCGAATAATTTAGCTCACAACCACCTGAATATTAGGAACTAAATGCAAAACTTGATCAGTAACTCTGCAACCATTAAGACTACGAACAGTCGCCTCATCAACACCCTGCAATATGGATTCTTGTGAAATATCCAAGTCCTGCAACAAACAAATAGTTAATATGTACTACACAGATTTTAACTTCTAAATAGACTGACATCCTCTAAAGAAAAGTAAACAAGTAGAATTCATATAGAGGAAAATCCCTACACAAAAGGAAGTATTAGAAAGTATAAAGTCATTAGAGTAGATACATAAAATCAAGGAAACATTATATATTATGTGGCAGGGAAAGCACCTCAGGGATAACCCATAGTGCCACATTTGCATAAAGAAGGTCTATAGATATTCCATTAAACTTGAATCCCATCACAGGAACATGAGCATCTGGAACAGGATGCAGTTCCTCAATTTCATCCGTCTCTGAGAGCATTTTATGAAGCTCACTAAAGAAATCCTGCAAATCAGATAAAAGATATTAATTATTAGTTCTGGAATGGTAAGCACACTTGATGTATAAAAATACAAGAATCTTATCCTACTTCTCGAGTAGCATATCGTGGTCCCACACATAAGGTGTCTATATCTGCACCAGGTCCATGTACCTATCAAAAGAAAAGGTTAAACTTTGACAGAGAAAGCTTACTCCCATAGTAACTTTGACATAAAATGTCCTTGAGAAATAGATAATGCTACATTTGCAGTTCCATAGAAGAAATACCCTATCCTTTCTCTATGTATTATTAAAAATTCTTTCTGCCGTCTTTTTCAAGTTAATCATCCCTTTACGTTGGAAGGGTAGATTTCAAGGTTTTTGGTTCCTTAAAATACTTTTCTCAACAGGATCTATTTTCCCATTCTAATAGTGAATATTTTGTTTCCAATGACATCACAAATTCAACAACGGGGAACATTGTATACAAAATAACTACTGGAAAGCCTATGAAATGGCAATAAGATCACAAAAGTCCAATTTCTCAACTAAAAGCATTTTGATTGTAATCATCCTTACAAGATTGTAACAACGATTTGAGAGGGATAAATACAGATCAGAGAAGGCTAAGGCCTGAAGGGAACATGCAAGCTTTCTTTCAATTTATACTTAAGAAATCTTTTGCAATAGGAAACAGCATACTAGTGATCCCACTGCTAAAAGCAGACAACATTGTCATGTATAATAGAAATTTACAAGGACCTATGTAAATATCAAAGAAAATCAAATGAAAAACAATGAATATAATAGAATGGGTTATAAGTAAGATTTTAAATGATTTTATGACACTAAAAAGAAAATGCTCAATTTCAGATGAATGCAACTCAGCCAAGAAAGATAATACTACTAAAATGGTTACTCCTCAAAGATCCCCACATAGCAGGCATATCATCCTAATACATGCTACAACATAGCAATTACTTGGCAATATCCAATAGGCCAATAGTTCCCTAGAAACTCCTTCAAAAGTAGCACCTGCTGTACAGGGGAGTGCAGATACATTCCTTCCCAAAATACAATTTCTGAGTAATAAGGACAACATCACATATTACTAATGCATCTCAACTTCAAAACAGTATAACACCCATAATGAAAAGGTGGATGATGTTAAATTGAAATTAGCGATCTCCATAATATTCAACAGTACCATAAGAGTCCATCTGATATTAGGAATCAATGACGATGAAATCCTTAACCCTAAATCTTCACTACTAATCAGTTTCACTCAACCAAAACTCATGATTTGAAAGGAATTTGGTTTCACTAATAATGGGGAAATTGGAAGATAGGGAATGTTGGAAACAAAAAAATAAATAAAAATAAAAATCCCATCTAACCTTTTGGAATTCATTTTTTCAGTATGCCAGCTAACTTTATAATCAACCAATATAAAAGACAAGGGAACCATTCAACAAGAAAAATAGAGGACAACAATACAAGGAAATTGTCTTCATCAAATGCTTCTTCTAAATCATTCTAGAAATTGGGGTATACAGAAATTACATAAAATAATAAATAACATAGATAAAAACAGTAAGCATCTACTTCAAATGACGGAATCTGTCCTAAAAAATCTGCAAAAGAACAACTAATATTAAAGTTAAAAAATTATGAATCCAAGTATCACTTCTTGAAATGTCACAAGGATACAGATGTTGGTAATGAGTATTATCAATTTTTTAAGATGTTATGTAGTAGTAGGTGATATTATTATATCCAATTTACTTCACATTCTGGTCTTACAGAATAGTGTGGGTGGTTGTGAACTTTCCACTTTACAAGTGTTCAATTTTTAGTCTTTCCTTCTTTTTAATAATGGAATTTGGTTAATTTGGCATGGGCAAATAGGTGGTCCTAGAAGATGTTTCATTAACTTACTGTTCTACTATGTCTAATTGCCTAGTTAGAATGGCCCACAGTCTTGATACAGCAATTTTAGAAATAGCCCCAACTCCACCACTAACAATAACATTTTGTTCAACCTCTCTAATAGCTTAATCGCTAACAGAACAGATGTAGTACCATTTACAATTTCTTCACTATTTTGATAAGGAAGACGGCCAATAATAAATTCTGTCACAGTAATATGATCTTCCTGCATCCTAAGAGTCTAAACCAAGCCAAGTGAAGAGAATTTGCATGTCAACAGTCGATATGACTTTAAAGTGCTTCTTCCAAAAGCCTAGATGTCACAAGAATTATAGAAACAAAGAGAAACTAACAGTCTAACAGAAATATAAAGTACCAATTATAGAATCATGCACTTCACCGTGCAACTACCATTCCATCAGTGATAGATGGGCCCTGCTCACCAATTATTAAATCATGTGAAGGATGAAAGAGAATTTGGGAAACATCAAATATTCCTCCAAGAACATCATTGGATTTCAACCACATCTATATTTGATAACTAAATAGAAAGCCTCTATTATCTATTGGTTTACCATTGGAAGTATGATAAGGGTACAAACCAAACTAACTGCAATAACAAAGATCTATCTATCCTTTTTTCCCACATGAGAAACAGGGACTAAGGTAGCAGGAAAGGGGAAAAAACCATCTTCAAGCTATATTTACAGCACACAACTTGAAATTTATGTATCAAATCAATGGGGTAGATTACTTGTATCTTTTTGTCCAAGAACTAGTGGAAAAGACATGCCCAAAGTCAAAAAGGAGAAGCAGCCAAAAGCTTCAGACATTATCACACTGTTTCATAGGAAAAATACATAGTTCACTCAAACAACTACAAAATGACAGTAGAACCTGCTCATATTATGTATGCAATGCACTGTCCTCTTGAATTCGTATAATTTCAAATCATGAATAAGCAAAATTCAAATTGAACATATAGGTTAATAACAAGTATAGCGGGGAAGTGTAGACCAGATTTATGACGCTGCAATACAAGTGTTTAAGATGCTTAGGGACTGAAAAAGGGACTAGTAATCAGTATGGAATAAATAATGCTCTAAACATCAACTATTATAGGCTGGTTTTATTTAGTGAATGAGTAAATTTATCTAAAAACCTATATCTAAGAAACTTAGAACCAGAATCTGGGATTGTAAATGAAGTTATTAGTATGCAAATGATGAGATTCCAATTACAGAAAAAATATAAATATAAATATAAATATAAATATAAATAAATAAAGCACCATAAGTTATTCCTGCTAGTTAACTAAAGAAAGAAAGCAAACACAAAAGCAAAAACAAGCTTTGTACAATACATACCCCCAACCGGTATGAACCAAATGTGAAAATCTTTGCATTTGCTTCCTGTGCCAGATGTTCGCTATGACCTTTTGCATGACTGACATTTTTCACCCACTTCTTTACAATCTGTTGAACTATCTACAATTAGAAACTTATACATCGCTTTGTAGAAACAACAATTCTAAATTCAAATGAAAAAGAGTAACCTGATCCAATCTTCCAAGGACTTCTTCCCTTCTAATGGCTTCTTCCTGACTTTCATACAATCCAGCATCTGCAAGAAACTGATTAAAAACCTTTTATCAGAAATTGGCCATCAAGCTTATTTTGTCCACAATCTCCATTAATACCTAGTTTGGATTGAAAGTTATCAAACAGAATAAGCTAGGTAGACTAAGCAACCTCCTTTTATCTAAAATGATAAAAAACACCAATAAACAGAAACTCCCTTTTATCTAAGATGAGAATAAGTAAATAACACCAATAAACAAGCATATTTCAAACCTAGTACTCCATATTCACTTATTCCTAATAGGATCAAGTGTTCCTCAGGAAAAGTTGTAATGCTACTTGCAAGCCAGTTTTCAGTTATCAAAAAATAGGGAAGGAAATGACCTAGGCAAATTATTAAAAACTTTGAAGCTTATCTTTTCCAGTGTTAATGCTACTTGCAAGCCAGTTACTAGTTTTCAGTTTTCTTATCTTTTACAAATTTCAAAGGTTTAACTATTTTTTTTTAATCTTGATGAATATTTTCAAAGCTTATGCTTCATATTTCTTAGCCATAGGGTTAGCAACTTTGCATTTCTCTTTAATTTTTTTTAATTAATCAATCCTAATTTCCATATGCAACAAACTTAATATGCTAAGACCCTTCCTTAAGGTAAGAATCAAAGCATATTGCATGCAAAAAATACCATAATTACTACTTAACAGAAACAAAGAACAAACCTTTTCCAATTCGGTGTTCCTCACCACATCAAACTCAGTCGGACCACCAGTAGAAATTGGTTCTGATACTCCATATACTGCGCGAGTAGCTGCATTAGCTGACTCACTCAGCCCAGTGCTACCCATCATCTCCTTTATAACAAGTCACAAATAATTGTTTTTATTTTTATTTTTTATTTTTTTCTCCAACTGCAAAACACAATATCTCACAAACGCACTCTTCTTTTATTGCCAATCAATAACAACAATCAACCTTCAATCAATAATCAAATACACAATTTTTTTTTTGTGCAGCTCTACTTCAAGAATTCAACACAACTGACCAAAAACACAAAAACAAAGATTCAGAAAAAGTAAAATTTAAGGGATTTCCTCAGAATCCGCCAGAAATTCTCATTAATACAGATGATACAATTAAACAAGAAAAACTACAAAAAAAGAATTGCCTCCAAAAAGAAACCCTAAATTTCAGGCACTTCCTTCTTTTCTTTTCTTTTCTTTTCTAGATTTCTAAAACAACTCATCCAACTTTCTCTCCACTTCAGAAACCAAAACCGAAACCCGAAAGAGTAACTGTATATAGTGAAAGCTGCCGCTATCTCGATCGGCCAGTACGACGCCGTAATCTGGAGTGTGCGGCCTTCGATAACCTCTTGGATTGATCGATTACGCAATCAAAATCCTAATATCAAAGAAGATGAAAATAGAAATTAAAAAAATCAATTGCATAGTGATGTTATATATAGAGGAGTAAATACGTACCCGGACAACGGAAGGAACCGTATAGTAAATATATATGCTTACGGAGGAGAAGATGGCAGTAACTAGGGCAAAATATGCTTGCCTAGAGAAGATAGGGGCCCCGTTGGCAACCCACTTGTAGCCGTTGTACGAGTTAGATAGCGTGAGCCGTCGACCCCGTCCACCTATTTATGTACACGCCTCCTTCCACACAAAAATAAGGTGTATTATATTTCACCTAAAATTAAACAAATAATTGAATATTTGATTTACTTGCTTAAACCGAATATTGTTGTCCATTGGTATTCTATTGCTCCTCTATGTCAGAGGTCTAGAGTTTAAGTCTCGGTGTAAGTGAAAAGAAAAATCATAACTAAATTCATTTTAAGAATAATAAAAAGAAAGAAAAAAAAGTAGTCCTTCCTTTGTAATACAAAAAATAATAATAACTAAACAGAGTTCATTTTAATAAAAAAAAATAAAAATAAAAAAAAATAAAAAAAAAAAGACCGGTCACCAGAAGAAGCACTAAGAAGTCTAAGCGTAATGAAAGAAGGGAACTAAGAATGTTAGAATCCTGTATTTGGTTAAAACTGAGATATGTAATATAAAGTTGTTTAGTTGAAGGGTTGTTCTTTATGTTATAATGGTTATTTTACTAGGCAACGCCGGCAGCGGGCAGCTGCCCGCCGGGCACCCGCTGCCCAGAATAGCTGCCGCCGGCGGGTGAACCCTCACCCACCGGCTACCCGCTGGTTTGCACCCCAATTTGGAATTTTGGCTTCCCCGTTTGATGTTCCCTCGACCCCCGTGGTGTCCCAACGGACTCCGTCTATCGTGCCTATGTCTAGTTTGATATTTCGGGTGCTATTCGTAGGTTGTATGAGTCGTATATATTGCATGCTAGTTGAATTGGTAGCCCGTTGACCTAGGTGAAAGAAGTATGAACCCCTTAGGATTATTCTTAGTATGTGAAGGATCACGCATAGGTTTTGTTATACGTTTTCTCCCCCTTCCCAATATGTTAATGTGGGTTGCATGTGCTTGCTATGTGTTATGTGTGCTTGATACCCCAATTCGGTTGCGATCGGATTGGTCATTCCTGAGCTGCGGTTCAGAAGCTGGTTGCGGTCAGATTTACACTCTTGGGCTGCGGTCCACCGTTTGGTTGCGATCAAACGTTTCTACATGAGCTGCGGTTCCTGGCTGCGGTCAGATGACACACTCTTGGGCTGCGGTCCACTGTTTGGTTGCGATCAAACTATTATGAGTTGCGGTTCATCGGTCGGTTGCGATCGACCCCTCCGTGTTGCGATACGGGGCAGGGTGCTGCGGGGCCGTGTCAGAGCTATATGCGCTGACCCTCATGTATGGGCATGCGATTGGTCCTGTGGCGCCAACAAAGTGTGCTATGTGATGAAGTATGGATGAGTTATTGTTATGAGTATCTTGGGGATGAGACTATGGGATTTATACTGGGGATCGTATATGTTGGGTTATGATTATTAATTGTGCTTATCTTATCTGTCTTGCTTGTTGTAAACTGTATATGCTTGGTATAACTGTTGTCTGTGCTTAGCTCTATCTGTTGAGTCTATCCCTGTTTTAAAAGTTAGAGTTCGTAGGATATATCTTCATGTTCAAAATGGTTTTCGTATATCTATATATATATATATATGTATTGTATTTCAACGCGTTGGAGTGGGTTACCAGCATCTCTCGCTGAACAGATATATTTGGCTTTCAGGCACAGACGAGTAGATCACTGGAGCGCGCTAGAGATTCGAGGCGTAGTGTAGATAGTTTCCCTTTCGGCCTGCGTGCCATTTACATTATTACGGAATTTAGTTAGTTAGCCTGTGCATCTGAGTTCTCCAGCTCAGGTGTGGCATAGCACCCCGTACCTTTATGTTTAACAATGCTCTGTTTGGGATTTAATAAGAGAATACCTTTATTATATAAGTCTTTAAAAGTTTTAAAATTTCGGGGTGTTACAGTTGGTATCAGAGCCTAAGTTTGACCCTAGGATAAGACTCTTAAGACCAGACTTTAGGACATTAGGCTTGAACTCTAGGTACTTAAGAACATAGGATTCAGGAATCTTAGGACGCGCGGTGAGATTGTGAAATCTACACGTAACCTCCCCTCACCTTATCCCTCTCTAACTTAAAATAACTTCCCCCTACGCTTACCACACCAAGGTAAGGGTGCAGCACACTGACTCATCGATACAATAAATATTGACCCTGAAAACCAGCAGCATGGCGCCAACAAGAAGACAGTCAAGGATCCCACACTCCTCGAAGAATGAACCCAAACCTTCAACAAGGTCCTCGGGTTAGTGGAATACTCAGAGGAACGTCGCGTAGGGATAGCCTCATTCCACTTCAAGACACGAGGCTGATCTTTGATAAATCCACGAAGAACCCACTTATGGGCAACAACCAGGGGTTCAACTAGGAGTGCCTAGGGGCACGGCTACGGGAACGATTCCATCCCGCACCTGTAAAGGCAACCATGTACGAGGAAAATCCTCCACCTAAACCAAGGGATGACCACCATCAGGGAATACCACAAACGATCCCTCCTGGCGATAAGGGTCTTACCTGGGAACAAGGACCTTGATGGTTTTAAGACACCGTAAGAAGTACATGTGTTAGGAATAAAGTGTAATGGTTTTGATATGCCAAATTTGTATTTGTAGATCCCCCAATTTTATTTTATAGGTCTAGTAGAGTCTTAGACCATGATCGGGAAATTATTTAATTATGAAAAGAGAAAAACAGAGAAAGATGGATGAAAATAGAAGAAGAAGATATAAAGCCGAAAATCAAGAATTTGTCTGGAGAAAATGGCAAATTGAAGAAGAAGATGAAAGATATGAAATCATGTCAATGCTACTCAAAGAAGATATCCCAGAAGAATTTTCTTGAAGAAAATTAATATTGGAAGAATGCATGATGGAAAGAAGTACATCAAATGTGATTGGAGATTTAATTAAAAGCTGTACGTACGAAGTGGATGATACTTGATATATTATTCAAAATGGCTCAAGTTCGAAACTCACCATTAATAATTTTACAAGGTAAAATTTGAGAAGTCAAATTAAATTAATCTGATGGAGTGGAAATTGGGAAGCAATTTCACTTGGGTGGCAATTGAGATGTATGAAATTGGAAGGGTGGCAATTGAGATGTATGAAATTGGAATTGGGAGCTAGTTCGAAGCAATTGAAATTGGGAGCCAGTTTCAGAGAAATCAAAATCAATTCAAATTGGGGGAAGCAATTGAAAGCATCAAAATCAATTCAAATTGGGAAGCAATTGAAAGCACCAGGAGCCAATTACAATGGAGAAATTCAAATTGGGAAGCAATTGAAAGCACCTGGAGAAATTCAAATTGGGAAGCAATTGAAAGCACCAGGAGCCAATTACAATGGAGAAATTCAAATTGGGAGCCAATTGAAATTGGGTGTCAATTACAATGGAGAAATTCAAATTGGGAGCCAATTGAAATTGGGTGTCAATTACAAAGGAGAATGTCAATTACAATGGAGAAATTCAAATTGGGAGCCAATTGAAATTGGGTGTCAATTACAAAGGAGAATGTCAATTACAATGGAGAAATTCAAATTGGGAGCCAATTGAAATTGGGTGTCAATTACAATGGAGAAATTCAAATTGGGAGCCAATTGAAATTGGGTGTCAATTACAAAGGAGAAATTCAATTGGGAGCCAATTGAAATTGGGTGTCAATTACAAAGAAGGAGAAATTCAATTGGGAGCTTGAAATTGGGTGTCAATTACAAAGGAGAAATTCAAATTGGGTGGAAGTTCAAAGCCAGTTTGAAGTCTGAGAACACCCATGAGAATGAGGGTGTCAATTACAAAGGAGTTGGGTGGAAAGTTCAAAGCCAGTTTGAGAAATTCAGATTGGGTGTCAATTACAAAGGAGAAATTCAATTGGGAGCCAATTGAAATTGGGTGTCAATTACAAAGGAGAAATTCAAATTGGGTGGAAGTTCAAAGCCAGTTTGAAGTCTGAGAACACCCAGACGTGAGAATGAGGGTGTCAATTACAAAGGAGTTGGGTGGAAGTTCAAAGCCAGTTTGAAGTCTGAGAACACCCAGACGTGAGAATGAAGAAGATGAGCCAGTTTGAAGTCTGAGAACACCCAGACGTGAGAATGAAGAAGATGAAGATGAACTTACAGTGAAAATATTCTCACAAGGAAAAATACTAGTTTAACTAGTATGGGATTAAATTGATGAATATTTTTAAATCCCAAAGATACAAAGACCACTTCAGAGCTGATCAGAGAAGCCATTCTACACCAAAATTGAGACCCAGATATTTTCCACTCAACGTAAAACCAGAGGAGTATCAGATGAAATTTGGGAGCTCATTTACATGGAGATAAAACTCCATCAACGGCTAGCTTATCTCTTTCTGACATTTTTGCAGAAGATAAGATAAGATCTCTGACAAAAGATACAAGATTTCAAAAATGAGAGCGTCTCTTTCCAACGGACAGATTCTCATTACCAGCTATAAAATGATGAAGATATGAAGACTTGAAGACGGGGAACTTACGAACAAGAGAGCAGAAAATTCGAAACTCATCAAGAGATCGAATAGAGAAATTAAGCTTGAAAGAGCATAGAGCAAAAATCTCATTTGGTACAGAGCATGTCGAAAATCTTCAAGTGAGAAGTGAGAAAAGAAAAAGAACTCAGAGAGCTTCAAAAGAGAAATATTCTGAGAGTTCTTAAACAGAGCAAAGCAGAGCAAAAATATCAAGTGCTTTACTTGATATATTCAAAGAGAGAAAAACACTCAGAGCTATCAAGAGAAATCATTCCAGAGTGTTTATCTTCATCAAAGAGACCTGCGCATCATTGAAGATCATCTACAGAGTCTCAGAAGTTGGAAGCAAGACAACACTTGTTTTGGAGCAAAACAAGAGAAGGGAGGAAAGTAGCACGGAGCTGTGAAATCCTGGATTGTCACACGGAGCTGTGAGATCCGAAGCAGTAGTGTCGGAGACACTGGGCGTGATTGGTGTGGGCTTGGTGATCAAAGCACCAGATCACGGGATACGTTTCTACCGGAGTGTGGAAGACGGGGGGAAAGTAACGCAGAGTCGTGAAATCCTGGGATAGTAGCGCGGCGACGTG